AATTTAGGTCAAAAACATCTCAAAATCTGTGAATTCTTCATCAAGAAAATACACACGTAGCTAAAAGGGACAAACAAAAATTAAGATTTGTTGTAGTTGTATTACAGGTGAACCCAGACATAGCTTAACATTAACCAAAATATGTTGAGGAAGACTAAATTAAAATAAATCTTGAGCATTACACAGAAAAACCTAAGAAAATGAAAAATTAGAATAGAAAAGGCTAAGGGTAACCAAAGTTAAGCTAAACTATCCAAATGCTGGCTAAGGGAGCTTTCAGTTCTGGAAAAGTTTGGAAAAATCTTAAAAGTTTTTAAAAAGTGTTTCAATATTATTTGGCTAATAGTTGTCTTTAGGAGTACTGTAGTGTGTATATTTGAAAAGTCTTAAAACATTAATGACTTTCGACCACAGATTATTTTACATAATGAAATTGCAAGTTAATTTTAATTCTACCTAAAAGAAAAGCAGATGTTTTTTCAATATCTTGTTGTTTGGAAGTAAAGTGAAGATGCTAAATGTTTTTGTCTCATTATTAGACCTATGTACAGTAGGTTCTAATGAGTGACAATGTCCTCTTCATGTCTCATTTGTATTTTATAGATGTAATGTCCTCTTTGTAGACTTAATATTCTTAATATTCTCTGTTGTTTTTTACTCCAGATAGCAGAGGTGTTGTACCCCATGGCAGACTATGTCACAGTGGACGTGACGAGGATTCAGTGCCTGGAGGCCAGAGAGGTCATTGTCAGGACGCTGTCAGTACAGGGAGAATCCCACGACTCCCAAGTCGCTGTCATTCCAAACAACCTGTTGGTGCCTCTACCTCCGATTCCCCTGCCGCCACCAATGCACCCCCACACAGGTCCACCACCCCCACCGCACCCCCACGTTCAACCTCACCTTCCGTCGCCTCACCTTCCACATGCTCCCCTTCCCCTTCCTGCGCCACCCCAGGCTCATGGACAACCACTCCCACCGCACCCTCCACACCCTCAACCCCATCTCAGACTTCCTCACCCGGGCGGACCTCCGCAATCCCAGCTCCGGCCACCACACCCTCAGCCCCAACCATTACACCTTCAGCCACGCCCACCCCAACAAGGTCCTAGGCCTCAGCACCAACTGCCTCTGCTGCCTCACCCTCAACCCCACCCTGTACCTCAGAGACCAGTAAGTGCCAGAGACCTGGATGCCAAAGAGCACGCAGCCCACCACGGAGGAGCTGTTCCACCTGGCCAGCCTGGTTGGGATCCCAAACGGTCGCCCTCCTCCCAGCCTACCATGCCCATGCACGGCCACAGCCTTGAGGCTCCTCCCCTCGACAATCTGCGCTCGCCCTCTCCGCAGAGGATCCTTCCACAGCCCAGAGGGACACTGATCCCAGACACAATGGCCAAGGCCATTGCCCGGGAAGCAGCGCAGAGGGTCGCGGCAGAAAGTGGCAAGGTCATAACTGAGTACACATTGTAATTCTCTTTATGAAAATTAGAACAGCAGAGAATGTATGCAAATATAAATAGATATATTAGGGATGTCTCACTTCAATATTTAGGATTGGTATTGGTCCGATATCGGAAAAGAATTCAGTATCGAACATCTAATAAAACAACTTTAGCCTGTCTGATCTGATGCCTAAGCCCAAATGCTCAACTTAACTCTGCACGCCATGCTATAAACAGAGAGCCTATACTATCACCTCAGCAACAGTAGCCTGTGGCGTGTTGGAGGAGACAAGTTTATCGGATTGATATCGGTATCTGCTGATACTCCAAGATAGAAGTTGCAGTATTGGCATCGGACATGAAAGGACTGTCAAACTATTACAATTTTGAATCCCTGGATCCATCACGACTAATCATGATGAATCTTGATTGTGATTACTCATGATTAATCGTGATTTATCAATATAAATTAACTCACCTGAATATGACAAAAAAATGTTTAAGTGAAATCGTTGTCCGCAACAATATCAATCAGGCTCCAGTACTTTACACTCCATTTGACAGTTGTGTCCGTCAGTGAGTCATATCGTCTGACATTATAAAAATAATATTAATATATAATTATATATAATAATATTAGCTTAAATTACATCCTAAGCTTTTTACTCACTTCCCTGTTTTTTATTTCTTCTTCAGGGGGACAGGCGGCCGGGGCGTTATGGAGAGCAGGGTCATTCATTTTACCAACATCACTCTGATGAGGAAGAGGAAGATGAGGAGGGGTTTGCTCGTGGCCGACGGAGAGGCCCCTCAGTGGACGAGTTCCTCAGAGGATCTGAGCTGGGGAGGCCGGTAAGAAGAACATGACGGTTTGACCTCTTTCCCGTTTCACATTCAGTGTGTTTTTTTTTAAATAGAAACCCCCGGAGGTGTTTGTGCAAGTTAGGATGTGTGTGTGCCGGTGTGTGCGTGCATGCACGTCTGGGTGGCTGCATGCATGCACTTCTCGTGGTTGTAACTCACGCCCATCCGTGTATGTTTCAGTGTGTGCATGTTTGTACGTTCCGTATGTGATCCTTAAACAACTGCGTCTGTGTGTTTGTTTGTTTGTGTGTGTGTTTGTCTGTGTGCGACGACCCAAAAGCCTAACTATAGTCACAATGAAGACTATCACAGCGAAAGCAGCCGGGGCTCTGACCTGTCTGACATCATGGAGGAGGATGAGGAGGAGCTGTACTCTGAGATGCAGCTGGAAGAGGGACGTCGACGCAACTCGCACAACACAGCCAAGGTGCAGTTCTTTGCACTTATTTTAAACCAAGAGTCATGAACATCCAAAGTTATGATTCTTCAGTGAACTGCACAGGCACAGATACTTCAACTGAGTCTGCTGCCTCGATTGGCATTCAGTATGTGTTGTTTAGAGTCAAATCAGGACAAAAAAGGCGAGGAATAAGTCGGAGCTTTCAGCTGATGGATACAGAAAGAAGAAATGAAAAGTGGCATGATGGAGTTGTGTGGCAAACGATGGACTTTGTTCAGGAAACTCTCAGACAGCCTCCCTCACTTTTAACTGCTCTTGTGGTCGGTTGAGGTAATTTGCTGCTGACTTAATTGACGTGATGACGTTGGAGATGATAATGTTGGTGGTGATTATGAACATTAACTCACCATTAAGGAATAAATGGCACTGTAGAAATGTTGGAAAAGAAGTTGGTTTCTCTACTTGGATTACTTGGTAATTTAATCATGTCATTTATCTTCTGTTTGTGTTTACAGAAAGGGTGAGGATGATGATGATGATAATGTATATAATATGTGTATAAGTTGTGTATTATGGGCTACTGGTCCCTTCATAAAGAAGAGGTGTTGGAACCACACCCACATGACTACAAACCCATACTTTTATGTACTTTTTTTTTACCATTTACCATTAATAAAAACATATACTTTCATGTTACAACCCACTATACCACCGTTCCTAAACTATGTATCTGATTTCCAAAATGTACATCACATTCTTTCAAAAGAGACCTGCAAACAATACTAGTGCCATTTTATAGTTGAGTGAGAGGTAGCCCATGTTCTTATTTTTACTGTTAGGATTGTGGTCTACCAGTGTGGCAACATAGGAAGAGATAGAGTGGATTTGTGGTTTGTAGCTCGACACTGAGCATAGTTTTTGGACACATCCTTTTTTTAAACCTTTCTCTGAAACAATTTCAGTATAAAAAGTACTGTGCTTGTTTTCAAACAATTAAAAATCTAAAGGTTTTGGTGGGTTTGTGTGTGTATGACTGTGTGTCCTAAATGTCTGTGTTTCAGTGTGCCTGTCTGTGAGTGCTGCATGAATTTGTTTTCATACAATTCTATCAGTTTTTTTTTTTTTTTTGCCACATGCTGTTTTTAAGTCTGTCCAATTTCCTGTGACTTGACCTCTTGAACATCTAATGTTTGTGAATGTTTACTGTGTTTGTTTGCCAGACGAACACTTCTGGGGGAGGAAGTCATGATCGAGAAAAGGGGAGAAGAATCAATCACGGTGGTCCTCAGCCTCAGAGACGACCCCTCATGGTCCCCTCTATTGGTCAGTAATGGAATGGCTGTGGTGTGAGAGGAGGAAAATCATGACGTTTGAAGTGGATCGTGTTTTCGTTTTGTTGTTGATGCCATCATGAGCTTTTCTGTGTTTCCAGATGTGTCTGCAAACCATGCACATGCCCTTCACTATTTAGACATACATTTTGCTTTGCAGATGTAGAAAACTAATTCTTTATATGTCAATAATATCCTAACGTAATGCTCTGATTCAGCAATGTTTTTAATGCTCTTTTGTTCTGCACTATTTCCAGTAGACAGTATATATAAAAGTAGCTATAGCCTAAAGTTATGCTATTGGAAGTAGACCAAGAGGAGCAGCCTCGTCTCACTAGAAGTCTAAGGAAAAATCACTTTAATAATTGATTCTAATAGTAACTGATAGCAGATATTCATTTACTGAAAATACTTTGTCATTGTTGGTCTATGTGACTGACGGGCCTGAATGGTTAAATGCACCTCCTTGAGGAAACAGCAGATAGCTAAAATCTTCATGTGTGTCTTTCTTCAATTCTTACGAGTATATCATTGTTGTGTTCAACTAAACAGGCCCAGGTTTCACACTAAAATGTAAATTGTGAGTTAATTGAAACTACAGATCATTGTATTTCACTACATATAGTTTTGGCGACATAATGACATGTTCCTTTAGATATTCATTGATGACAATTTACTTCATATTCATTTTGCATCTTCATTCAACCACAGTTTGGAACTAGATGGCTGGGTCCACTTCATTTATACAGTCCGTGGTCTTAACCTGTCGGTTTTAGATGGGAACGCAATCTGTTATTGTTATTGGCAGGTGAAGGTTAAACTTTGTAACCCCATCATCCTTTAACTGGTGTTTCCCCCAGAGGTAACCTCTGAGAATAACAGTGAGGGAAACCTCTCCCCCATCAACGAGGATGTTTACTATGGCAAGGTAGCTCGGCACAGGACGCGGCCCTCCCGCAGGCACATGGGCTGCACCAGGTCTTTCCATGGTATGTGCCCTGTAGTCCTGTTCTCACCATGGCAGCATGGCAACAAGTGAACGAACGCCACCAGCAACAACTGGCAAATGGCAAACAGTAGCTGAGGACACTTGCAAGCGCCTGTCTTTCTCTCTGTCTAAGATAATAATAAATATTATTATGCTTTACAGTTGAACAGCATGACATGCACTGCACTATAACTGTGGACGCACTGGTAACAGGGCTCCAGGCAGTATGACTCCATGATAGATGATAAATGGTTGATTGACTGCTCAGTGAATGCATCACTCGCTGCACTGAACTCCAGATGCCTGCTCTCCCCCCCTCCCCTCCTTCCTTTGTGGTGCAACCACACACCCTACACTTTTAATGGGAGCAATTGTGCATGAAAATGGAAAGAGATATTTGTGGTAAATGGAGAAGACTCATTTAAATGTCTGAAGTTTTGAAGTATCGGCTACCTTTTATTGTGCGCTTCATCATCAAAGTAAAGCAGCGGTGCAACAGAATCACACTGATCTATATGGCAAGAAAACTCCACTGTTTAGTATCTGCTGCCCCTAGTGTTTAAACTGTATTCATATTTTTTATTTTATTTTAGGTTTGAATAATTGGTACAGACCTGTGTAGTAATGTATGCATGATTTGTTCGATGTCGTCATGTTCCCCATTCCTAAAGTTTGTTGCACCATGGTTTGTCTTGCATTTCATTTCTTCCTCTCTGCATACAGTAACAGACAGACAAAAATATGTGGGAATGAGCAAAGATTCTGTCTGCATGTTTATATGCACAAGTAATACCTAGAGCAAGGGTGTCAGACTCAATCACTCAACAGGCTGAAAATTAAAACACAGTCTTCTTTGACTCTATACTAGCCACAAAAAATGAATTTCCCCCGCAGGCCTTGAGTTTGGCACCTGTGACCTAGAACATAGTTCTAAGTCTGTTTAGATTAAGTTAATATGTTAAGAGGAATTCATGGAAAACACATTTCAACTAAAATACTACAGTGTCTTAAAACTAAGGTCTGTGTTTATTTAATGCACATAACCACCTTGTTATGGTTCAAAAAAATACTGACCAGATTTTTGATTAAAACCTTGTTATGGTTCAAAAAAATACTGAGATTTTTGATTAATTTAGTTTGTCCATGTAAAACACATGTTCCAGGCATTCATTTTTATGTTCAAAATTAAGAAAAAATAAATTAAAATATTAGCTTTTTTATTTGTACTTGCTAAATGAAGGTTCTAGTTATAGGTTTCAAACTCCAATGAGCTGAGGTGCCACTGCTGCCACAGTCAATTCATTGGAGGGACAAAGTCATTTCTGTTATTTTAAATATTAACTCACAACTAAATTCATATAATATTAACTACTTCTATAACTAGTTGTCAATAATATTTTATATTTTTGACATTTAGTCACTGGTGAGATTTGGGCTTCATGGGCCATAAGTGGTCCCCATGGCCAAGAGTTTGAGAACCTGGGTTCAAGTGCATTAATAAATTACAGATTTTAACATTTAACACATCTTTTTAGGATTATTATTTGCATGATTATTTCGGTCTTCTTACTTATTGGGCTAGAATCTATGAGATTATTTATTATTATTAACATTATTATTAATGTTTCCTTTAGATAAAAATGTATTTTTGTCACCTTTTGATTTATTCTTTCCCTGGAACCTGATTTATTGTCTCATCCACAGCAGTTTTGTAGTCTTTTTTTTTTTTTTTTTACAATTGCTTTTTGCATTTGATGTTTTTAAGATGGATACAGGGATCGGGATCGACGCTCTCCCACGTATTATGACGAGTCCGAACCCGAGGAGTCCTTCAGGATTTTTGTGGCCCTCTTTGACTACGATCCTCTGTCCATGTCTCCCAATCCTGATGCAGCTGATGAGGAGCTGCCATTTAAAGAGGGACAGATCATTAGGGTAGGGGTTCAACACCATCTTTCCGTTGTTTTTCTCTCTGGTTTGTTTAGTTTTTGTGAGTATTCTCTCCCTCTCTTCACTCAGATATATGGAGATAAAGATACAGACGGGTTTTACAGAGGAGAGGTGAGGGGTAGGATGGGTCTAATCCCCTGCAACATGGTGTCAGAAATTCGGGCGGAGGACGAGGAGACCATGGACCAGCTCATCAAACAGGGTTTCCTGCCTCTCAGCACACCTGTGGACAGAATAGGTAACAACACACAGGCTCCAAAGCACTAATCACTGTCAAAGTGTCTGTAAGAAAAAGACTTTATGGCGAAAAAGCAACTTTTCCCACTTCTAGAGCATAACAAACGAGGCCGTGGTCGAGACCAGCACTCGAGGAGGATGGTGGCTCTGTACGACTACGATCCCAGAGAGAGCTCCCCCAATGTTGATGTTGAGGTACCACACACTCCTGAGGACAGAAACACTTACAGCCACATACAGAACCACAATACATTAAATATACACTTTTAAATCTCCTTGTAATTTTTCTTGTAAAAGTTTCAAAATAATGCAGTTCACCCAAAAACAGTTAAGCCATGGTTTTTAATGAAAACACTCACAGCAGGGGTACAAAACCACGCTAGGGCCGTTCTATTGGGAGGCTACACCAGTGTTCAATACAAGATTCTCAGATATTTCAGAAAATGTTGTTTTTTTTTCTTCGTTTACAGTAACCTAGGACAAAGTGAGCTGCATATTTTTTTTTCTCTCTCCTCCAAGGCGGAGCTGACCTTCTGTGCAGGAGACATCATGGCTGTATTTGGAGACATTGATGAAGATGGCTTCTATTATGTGAGTGCTGCCTGTCTCTGTCCCTGCTGTTCCAAACTGTTCTCGTGTTGATAAGTACATTAATAGTAATGTCAAGCAGTAAAACAATTAAAATATACAATTGGAAAAAGCTCAGCCATTAGCACCACCTGGATCTGTTAAAGGTAACAACAGGTTCTGACCTTGGTTCTGTTAGTAGCAACTGACCCCCGTCTTACACCTTTCCAAAGCCACACCCACACCTATATATTTACACACAAACATACATATATGTATAAACACAAACAGAAGCAAATGGCCTTTCTAATTATCATTGTCGAACTTCCTTGGTTTTCCTGCAGCAGGCGTTCTTCTGGTTTTGGTCGAACAAAGTTTTACCGATCCATTAGTGGATGTTTGAGTCTTCTGAAATCATTTTATTGGAAGCAGAAAGAATGATTAAAATCGGGAAATACTGTGTCAGGTTTGAGTCTGATCTACCCCTGCGTTTGAATGTCTAGGGTGAGATCAATGGCCACCGTGGTCTGGTTCCCTCTAACTTCCTGGAAGAAGTGCCTGATGACGTAGAGGTGTATCTGACTGACACTCCGTGCCACTACCCCCCGGAGGAGCCTGGCAACCGCCCCCCTGCCAACTCTGCCAACGCCACCGTTCCAGAGGGCAAACGGGTACATCATCATCGCCGCTCTCAGCGTTAGGCCCTGTGTTCATCCATATCCTCCGTCCTCTCTCTCTCTCTCTTGATTTCCGTCTCTCGCTTCTCCACTTGCCGTCTGTGTGCTGTCCATTGTGTGTGTTTTGTCCATGTGGTGACAGTGGTGTTCCTCAACCAACTAACAACCCCACCTCCCGCTATCCCCACCCTCACCCTTTTGGAAAAAGGGGGAGAGCAAAAACCCAGTGCTAACACCTTTCTGAGTCTCAGAGAAAGGAAGAAGCAAAGCCTGACATGGACAGAGAGAGGATACTGTAGACTGTGGGAGCCTCTGTGGGAGGATGGGGGAGGGTGGATCCATGCATGAAGCACTGGTGGAGGACTTGAAAAAGGCTCAGCTCATTTCCTTTCACAACACAATTTGGTACTTCCTTTGCACTAAAACACTCGCTCTGATTGTGGTGATTGCGTATTATAACGACATTCGTCATGAATTGCTTCCAAATGACACTGAAGTAAATTACTGTAGAAGATGAAAAAAAGACAGACAGAGAGAGAGAGGAAGAGGAAATGCATGCCTTTTTCAAACTTGATACATTTTTCTATTACCTTTCTTGGCTCGACTGCTGTGTTTCCTTGAAGAGGCTTTGTTTCTTTGTGTAGATTGCACACACACACACGCACACACATCAGATCTATTTTTCAGCCATGTGGACGGTGGATATACCATGTTCGCTCTGAGCTCGAGAGACAACAAAAAAAAAACACTAACCACAGCACTGAGACATCCATTCTGTACTGTTACAATGAATGAATAAAAGGTAAAAAATTGGATATAAAAAACAATCTTTCTGTGCCCTGTGTTCATGTGTGTTGGTGTTGGTGACGTTGCTGTTGTTGTTTTCAGTTGCCATAGTGGTGTGGGTTCTTCCTAGGGTGACAATGCTGCCACATCTGATATTTCCCTTTTTTTTTCTTTCTTTTCTTTTCTTTTTCGTTTTTCTCTCACCCGCTTGGCAAAACAAAACAAACAAACAGAAGAAGATTGTTCATTTCACACCATAAATGGCTTTGTACAGTAAGTTGGCAACTTGAGATACCAAACTTGTGGTGCTAATGCACACAGCTTGTGGTCACAGAGAAGGGCTTTTAAAATGCCATTTCCAGACGAAGCACTTGAGGGTTTTTCTTTTCACATGCTCTGCTTCCTCATGGCTAATCAATAAAACCAACAAAGTTCGTTTTGGTCTGTGGATTTGATTTAATTACAAAGTGATTAGATGCAATTGGAAATTCTCATTTTGTACTTATAAGTATTTCTCAAAGGGTGTGTCATAGTCCAAAACTTCTGACACAGGACGAAACTGGTTAAAAGACCGTACATTCATCCAGTCTCCCCTTTTTAAAATGATTATATCTTTTTGTTTAAACTGTCTGAAATATATTATTATATATTCTGACAGTGCGAATGTGTGTCATCATCACCTGTCCAAGCAGAAAGTGAATAATCAATCACTAAGACTCAGAGACACACGTCTTACTGAAACTGTGTCCACAGCTGCTGATGCATTAGAGGAGAAGCCTGGTATCTACAGTTGTGTCCCTGGGTGTTGTACTGTATCTGATTGTACTGTGTATTCCCTCATGGTCTACTGGTGGTGGACCTCACCTACTCTGTGGTGTGCTAATGTACTGCCCAGCCATATAATGGATTCTTCAGGAGTTTCTTCAGTATATGTACAGCGGGGGAGGAGGAGTAAGTTGGTGACAGTGTGTCATCACTCTTCTAATATTTTATTCCATGTGTTATATGGTACTGTAGGGCAGCGCTCCCCGACCCTTTCTCGTTCTAAGGTCCAGGTTTGCAGGTTCCAGCTGGTTACGGGGACTAGTAGTGCTGCTGTTCATTGAGGGTCTGTTAAAGGATCACTAAGGATCATTCATTTTTAAAAATAAAACAGTTTTAGGCTTTGTTTTGTTAGTGTTGGAGTCTGGAAGATGTATTATTTTGAAAACTTTCCAGATTGTCTTTAAATGAAGTAAATTCACTTCAGCCTGCTGGACTGGTACCAGCCCAGGGAGCAGGAGTTGGGGACCTGTGACGGCATTGACGACTTATGCTTTTTTCATGTAAACTAATCTCACAAAAAATTCAAAGTCAAGTTGACGAGTAGTTTATGACATCATCACATTGACAGATGTCCAACAGTGTAACTCTCCATACTTTACTTTCTTACTTCTATGCGTTGATCTGTCAATGCCCTCCCGTATAACATGGCGACATACATTTAATGGGTCATATTTTTAAGGGGTATTAAATAGTATATTATTGTCACCTACAACATCTGACTCCAAAGTTTTATGTACAATGGACTGGTCTGCCGGTACTGGCCGTTAGTGCGGACTAGTACCATTGACCCAATGGTTGAAGGATCATTGCATTTTCAAAATGACTTTATTTTGTTAGTATTGGAGTCTGAATGACACGCTATTTTGAAATATTGCCATATTATTTTTAAATGAAGAAAGTAGATCGATATGACTGGATTCTCTTTGAACAAAGTAAATATGTAAAAATAAAATTATTTTACCGTGTCCCACTGCAGCCATCACCAAATGACCTATGGACCTGTACCGGTCTGTGGGCCAGGGGTTGGGGACCCTTGACCTAGAGGCCCATGGCGTAGGTGCAACCTAATTGCATTAACACAGACCATGATGGTTTGGGTCAAGTCATTTTTCTATACCCAAGACAAACAGATTCACAAACTCCATAATATTGAATTAAGCCACATTGTTTATATAAAAAAGTTATTGCTAGAAGTTCTGTCCATTCCTGCGTCGATCATTTGTACTTAGGCCCTGTATTTAGTACTCGACACATACATGGGTGGAACAACATCGCACCTTTATCACAGACTGACAGATCACGGCTCAGGTCATGTTATAATTCGCTGCCCCTTGCCTCCACGGCCTCCCAATGGCTTCTGTTCTCAGGTCACCACTGACACCTCTGACCTGGTCGACCACAGTGCCACGCCCGTGCGAGCCCCATCACCCATTGTGCGTCCTCTCCTGCCAGGCACCATGAGACCCCTCAGTCCTACGAGGGTCCCCCACCTGCCGCTGGATCCCCGGGACCCCCAAGATCTGGCAAACAAAAAGAAGAAAGGACTTCTTTCCAAAGGGAAGAAACTCCTCAAAAGACTGTCCCCCGTTAAATAACCAACACAAATATCACAAAAGAAAAGTCCGATGTACGTCCATGACAGACCCTGTAAATTGCATCCATACAATCAACTCTGATCCAATGCCACTGGTCACAGTGGACAAACCTCTGGCTGCTGGACTGACTTGAGCCCGTTGAAGTGAAGACTTCAATAATTCATGTTCTACTGGAAGAAATACAGTTGATGTACAGTGGAGTGCCAAAATCAAGGAACGGCTCACTGCAGTCACACTCAAAAATGATATAATTATATATGTATATACAGTATATACATATATATATATTACTGTGATGTAATTTAATTTGAGATTACTTTAAAAAAAGAAAGAAAAAAACTAGGATTTTCATGACAATGTACTTTATTCTCCCTTTTCTTCATCATTGCTCGAAGATACTCTATATTCATTCAGGGTAACTGTGAAAACAGTGCATTTACGTTGAAGTAAAAATGATTTATTTTAGCAGTATTGTCACCAGATGGTTACAAACACATATATGTGGGCCACGGTACAGTATGAATTGGCCAAAATTTGTGCAGTGCACATACAGTACAGTATGTCTGGAATTACACTGTTCTTGAGGCATTCTCTGAAGAAATGCTGGCTGCTAACACACACACACACACACACACACCCTCACACATACACAAAAGAGCTTTATACAGTGCAATATCAGAGAAAGGTGGTACACTAGCACAAGTGGGAAAAGTCTTTTCTGTTCTGTGATTCGACTGATAGAACGTTTCTGTGATTAAAACAAGAGGAGACAGTCGACGGGGCATTAATGTAAGATAACATCAGACGAGCTCAGCTGTCTCAGTGGCCTTTATCAAAACAATATGTGCGTGGCATTCCGTGTCTGACTTAGTGAATATTGTTTTACCATCTCTTGTGCGTCGTCACTTTTGATGAATTATAAAAAAAATTTAAAAACCCCGGCCATCTGTCATCACTGTCAAACTGTCATGAAACGCCTAGTTCCCGAGGATATTTCGGTGTCTCTTCTTCTTATTGCACAAAAGTGGGTCTGTCTAACGAGTGGTTTCCGTGTATGTGTGTGTGTATGGGTGTTCATGTTCATGTTCAAGCACCTGTCCTGTTCACTGATGTTTATTTCTAAAAGGAGAGGACATGTCGGTCCTGCTCCTGTGAGTGTCGTGACGTGCTGCTACCTCCATTGTCTCTGCACAGGTTTATGTTGATAATCTGGAGGGCTAACCTTTAAAGCCTCGCAGACATTTGCCTCACTTCCTGGTTCTTTAAAGTCACCTTATAAGGTATTTGTGGAGAAATATTATATAATCGCACATGAAAACAGTTATAGTGATGTTCTTAAGTGTATTGGTTCAACACCGGGGCAACTCATTCTAACCGACGGTTCTCAAACTCTGTTATGCGTATCGGTGATACTAGGGCTCCCTCAAATGGTACGCAGGGGAAAGAAATATATGTAGCACAAAAATACTTGACTTTTTAAAAAAGTGGCATATTCAATGACAAGAGTCAGTACGTGTGTGTACATGTATATACATATATATCCGACACTGATTCATTCATTCGTCATTGAATATGCCGATTTTTTAAAAAGTCAAAGAGTTTTTTTGGGCTACAATACAAATATCAAAGCAGCAAGTATTGCAATATTACTATGTTTCCTGTTTTGAGAATACTCATCTGTAGCACTTCATCATAGCAGCATATTCTCATATATCAGTGTAGGCATATAAATGTGTTAGTGACAACGCTGGATCACACAATCAAGACAAAAATGTCATTTTATTAGGCTTGAGCTCTTTTTTTGTTACCCATAATTCTCAATCATTGAAAAGGTAAAAGTCACTTCTTGACATTTACGTATTGATGTAGGCCATAAAAGGTTCTTTAAAAGCAGCTCGGAAATTATTTTAATTTTTAAGACATAACCAAATATTAAGTTAGTAAAATGGAAGTGTAAAAAAGTAATTTGTTCTAAAGTACTACTTCACAACTACAGCTTCAAAAGCTACAAAAGAGGCTTTGTACAACTTTATTTTCATAGAATCTGCTCTACTTTCCCCCAGAACATTTATTTTTTATGTCGTGTATTATAACATGTAAATACAGGATTATTGAGTTCAGTTGAAATTCAAAAACAAAACACAGAACAAAATGACTGGTCATCAGTGCAACATAGAATTAGTAATGACCATTTACCAAGGTGAAAAGTCACAGCCGTGTTCACTTAAAATAGCTTTTTTGTTTAAAAATAATTTTCCTGCTCAGCGGCTGTTGAAACTTATGCAGTGATGCACTGAAATCAATGACCTAAATGTGACAGAACTGTATAAAATAATTCATATTCTATTATTTAAACTGAAGAAAATCATTGAGAATACATGGCGTGTCAGTTTTCTCCATTGGTGATCAGGTTTGATGAATAATCAATATTAATATATTAATTTCAAAGCAACACAGTGACCAAACCCCCCATCATTCACAGTGTCTTTGATCACAGTGGCTTTTTGTACTTGTTTGTACTTTCACTCACAACAGCCTTTTTTTGGTGCACTTTTCCTCTCCTTGTGTAAGACTGAACTGGTTATCTCTCAGTCCACATCGTATGTGCTTGCTTTGTGAATCAACGTTTAAAAAAAAAAAAGGAGCTAGAAAAAGTGAAATCATTGAACAGTATTTATGGTGATTACTTGTGTGTGGGTGTGCATGTGGCAAAAATAGCCAACAAGTTTTATAACCAAATTAAATTTGATATTTTTCAGGAACTCATGTCTCTGCTTATTTGTGTGATTTATGAAAAAAAAAGTGATTCACCTTCAAGGACTTTGCTGATCAAAAAATTCAACATCCAGTGATTTTACAAAACTCAACAGTTACATGTCAGAGCAGGCTGCATTACTTCATCAATGCTTAGATTAGATTAGATTAGATTAGATTAGATTAGATTAGATTAGATTAGATTAGATTAGATTAGATTAGATTAGATTAGATTAGATTAGATTAGATTAGATTAGATTAGATTAGATTAGATTAGATTAGATTAGATTAGATTAGATTAGATTAGATTCTAGATTAGATTAGATTAGATTAGATTAGATTAGATTAGATTAGATTAGATTAGATTAGATTAGATTAGATTAGATTAGATTAGATTAGATTAGATTAGATTAAATTAGATTAGATTAGATTAGAAATAAACGTGCCTGCAGGACAATGGTTCTAACCTTTTTTGGCCTTTGACATTTTTTTTATTTTGCCCCCATTTTTCTGAAGTAAAAATTAGGGCAAAATAAAAAAAAAAAGTGCAAGGACAAGGACCGGATGTCAGCAAAATTCCACGAGTGAGTGTCCAAAAAGGCAACGAACTAACTAGGATTAAAAAACAAGAAGTACTGTTGGTGCATAGATTAATCAAAAGAGAACAAGCAACTGGAACATTACCGCGTGAGTAGGTTAGTATGCTCTGGCACTGAATCCTCGTGGAGGCGACGCCCACCAGTGCTCTGGTTCATCAGTTCGGCATTCAATAAAGTTAATATAACAATGAATAATAATTAGTTGAAAGATTTTATCAGTCATTTTCTTTTATCAATTATCAGATATTTCTGGCAACCCCATTTGAATTCCAGGACCCCAAGTTTGAACACTGCTGTAAGATTTTCCTCAGGGAAATTAAAATCCAGCAGCAGGACAATAACAAAGGGCAAAAACATACATACAAATTAGGGGCCACTGAAACAAAGTCAACAATGGGGCATTGTGTGTGTTCGGTGGGGGAGTCATACAGTAGAATGGGGAGTAGACACTGTCGTTTTATAATCCTCACCCCTGTAGAAGGCCAAGTCAGCACAAATGCTGCTGTGGCCTTTTCCTCATGGCAGAGTGGAGAAAGGTTGTAGGGAGGAGTTTAGATGGAGGTCTATATAACGGAGGTGGAGAACCTCCTTCAACAGTCCTGTAAATCAGTGGTCCCCAACCCCTGGGCCGTGGACCAGCACTGGTCCATGGGTCAATTGGTACCGGGCCACACAGAAAGAATGCCTAACTTACATTATTTCCGATTTATTAATTATCTAAACAATGTTTTATTTTGAAAAATTACCGGATTCTCTCCACCACATCTGTCTGTGACTCACACTTGATACATGTCAAGACGCTTGCCTCGGTCACATTATCTATATCCGCTACCTTCCTAAAAAGTCACTGCTGTAAATCATGCCAAATGTCCCTGACATCAATTTGTCAGAAGATATTTAACCCAGCTGGTGGGCTTTTAAATATGAATTTGCAGATTGGGGTCATGGGCCACATAAATCTTGTCTTTGTGCCATGAACGGCCCCGAGGCCTGACTTTGGACATTCCCTCCCATTTAATTGTCCATTTTTAATTCATGAATCACAGGGAGGGAGAGTGTCTCACAGGGTTCCCTGACATGGATTGACATGATTGTAATGATAAAGTCATAATTAATTCATTAGATTTTTCATTTCTTTGGCCTGGTTGAAGGGAATTAACATAATTTCTAGTTTTTTCATATCCAGCGCTGTGGGACCTAATTGACGGATCTTCTGGATTTTATCTTCCACGATCCCAACGTCACACAAATGACTCATTTTTGACATTTTAAAAATGCATTTAATGTTTTATGTATGACGTTGGGCACCTGGTTACCTGGGATGAAGTAGGAGACCAGGCTCTCCATGGAGATCTAGAACATACGTATACTGTAAGCTTCAGCCGTCCACATAAAGCTGTCAAGACAGTAATCACACTAGAAATAAATGAACAGGATTTTTAAACCATATTCATTATTAGATGGAAACAATACTAGCTTGTGTCACGTTTACTAAATATATTGCTGTATCCGCAATCATGAAAATATAACAGTCAACCCCCACCACCCCATACATGTGTCTATATGAACTGAAACAGTTTCTTAGATTTTGAAAACATTGTTCTTCACATTTCAGTATCACATTAACCACGCTTTAATTAACAAATTTGCCACAAAAATAAACATAAAAAATAAAATTAACCATTCAGCTTTCAAATACGGTGATATACTGTATCTTCACGGTCCAACTTTTTTGCTTGGACAGAAAAGGCAGCACTGACAGGCGTCACCCTGCCTTTGATTGTTTTAGTCAAGCTTCAATATTAACCAATCAGAGACAGAGAAGGTTAGGTCATGTCTGTTGGTGATACTGTAAGTCTTACGGTGTAAGAGATCATTGAACTAAAATTTGATTGTATTAACTGCAGGAATCTGACATAAGAATCGGACTCTTGCCTCGTCAGACAAATGTTGTAAAAAACATGGTTCCTATGAAATCAAATAACCAATAACCTTATGCCATTTAACTCTTGATGTTATTCCTACAGTATAGCCCTGCTGATCACTACATCACAGCTTCTCCCAGCGGTCAATGAGGAAACTGCAATGTAATAAACAAAGTCTTTCATTGGCAGAGCTGGAGCCAATCCCAGGAGTCACCTGGTGAGGTCACTGTTACACCCAGTTGATCATGTTCACACCTGTGGTCAGAGTAGAGTCCTGTATGTCCCTGGACTGTCCCTCGACTGTCCCTGGACTGACCCTGGACTCCACACAGACCAGCAGTTACTGCCTGAAAACAAACCGTCTATCTGCTTGATGTAAGGCAGGTACACTGACCACTCCCCCCACAGTGTGGTCAAACAAAGTCACTGCAAGCCAAATGCAATAACTGGGTGAAGATTCACAATGTTGACCGTGTGCCTGATTGCAGCAGTGGAGTCAGTCGTGCAGCAGTCCGGTCTCCAGGTGTCACACATCATCATCAACAAACCAACTTCTCAGATACCTGGTTCCCTCCCCCACACTCACTCTTCGTGTTTTAAGTTGGTGTAAATTCACCCAATCACTCTATTCCCCCCCAACATGTGACATTATTCAGCTACAATCTTCATGTAAGTGACCAACAATTTAAATTTCTGTTACAGTGTCTTTATTTCTATACGTTCTTCAGTGGACTAAACCCAAATGTTTGTGTTACAGCGAATTCACTCGTTTCCTCACGGTGTGATTAACTCCGCTCTTTTGATCATTTTTAAAATAACTTTTCAAAATAATATATAATATACATGCGTTTATTTTATTTTTTTTACATGTTTGACGCGTATTTATCTTTGTTAACCCTCGTACGTACACGTAGGCATTAAGAGCAAAAGCCAGTTTGTGGAGTAATAGCACATATGCTGCATGTGCTACTACTCCATGGTCCACAGGGAGGCAGCAGTGGTTTGTAGTTAGGCAGCGGCATTTTGCCACAGTCAAAGCTATATTTAATGACATCGAAAATAGAATGTATATTACGGTACCGTCATTTGAGCTATAATATTAAGTCTATATATGGAATAAAAAAAAACTCCCTTTACTGTATGTTGTCGGTTTCGATTTGGTTTTTCGAATTTTAACTTTTTCTTTTTTTTAATGCAAAACTATTAAGGACTGTTACAATAAGAAAATAATCAAAAATAATGAGAAAATAATCATAACCAGTGTCTATTAAGGCTTTGTGTGTAACAGTTATATTTTTCCAGAAAAAAAACCCAAGCTGGTAACTTGTAAGTTAGTATCTTGTTGTCACTTCTAATATTTCTATTCTATTCTCTATCCCTGTCCTTCATCTTGTTACAGCAGCCCCCGACCCCAGCCTCATGCCTCCCCCCCCACCTCCCACCCCTCCCTCAAATGGATGTTTAAAATTCCTGCTACTTGTAGCCTCTCTATCACTTGTGATCCTGTGTGCTGTGCCACCAGAGGGGGGCAGGAGGGGGCATCCATCAGCAGCTCTGAATCTTTCAAGAAACCCTCGGAGTCCCAGTTAAACACTCACTGTCTGATCTGACCCACCTTCACCCCCCACCGCCCCTGGATCACAGCGGGACTCTCCCAGGTAAAACACTTTAATTTGACTTTGATGTACGCAGAGACCTGTGTCATGTGATGAGCTGAAGGTCGAAGGGAGCAGCTTTCAAAACTTCACCAACTTAAAGAGCTTGGAGGAGCCTGGCTGTGAATGTATGGTGCATGCAGAGACATGTGGTGAGGTTCATGCCTGGTGGGGCACTGGATAGACAAATATATCAACCCAAAACAGATGCTTATGGCCGAGTTTTCTGTTTGTCTTAAAGAACTGTCTGTAGCAGCACGGCATCTTTTTAATCCTGTCAAAACAGCCCTGGTCCAAACCCTCCGTTTCAGTACTAATGTTGTCAGATTTTCAGATCACGTTATACAATGTTATACAAGTTAATCCAATGCTGTTTCTAACCTGGTCAACAGGCTCAGTTACCTTTCAGATTGTGTGTAAACTCATTCAGTCAGTGTGTGTGGCACAGCACCATCACAAGTGGGGTGACGCTCATCGCTGCTCTGCATTATGGTGTAGCTGTATGCATTTATTCCTCTGGAGTGTTACAGCTCCAGTGTCAAGGTGCAGGAAAAAGCCCATTCGTTTCAAATACAGTGTTCTATGCTACACAGTATATAGCAATTTTATGCAATGTGTGGATGTACACATTGCATGTGGATAAACAATATTTTGTTACTTCTCAGATAATCAAATGTTAAAAAAAATATACCTAAACACGCCAGGTTATCATTTACCAACATTGTTCTATGGGAGTTCTGAGTCCGTGCTCTGTGTTCTGTGTTCAGACCCCGTGCTTGGTATTCATGTCCTGATGGTCATGCCTTGTGATATTCATGCCTAGTTGTTCATGCCCTGTGATGTCCATGCCTTGTGGTTCATGCCTTATCTTCCTGCGACCCAGTGAGTTTTGTGAATCAACTTCCTGCTCCTGAAGGGAGTCTTCCATGTGCTGGGTCCTGCCTGCTTCATCCCATTGCACAGCCTAACAGAATGATCCCACATGAACTGGACCCTAGTGTACTGGGAGGCCCTCTTGGTTCTATCAGATGCCAGGTATGTGAAGCTGAAGTCGATGAATGCCCAATGGGATTTCCCCAGGTGTACTGGGAGGCCCTCTTGGTTCTATCAGATGCCAGGTATGTGAAGATGAAGTCGATGAATGCCCAATGGCGACCGTTCCTGCTCCACACACGGCTGGAGCAGCGTCTCTTCCTACTTTAGGTTCTTCCGTTCGGCCGGAGCAAAGGGTAGTTGGCAGTTGCTCTTGTGTGTCTGCAGCGATCTTGGTGTCCTGCTGCCCATGTTGTAGGACGACAGGGGCCGGCCCTTAAGGGGGGAGGACGTGGTTCCAGCTTTTGCCCTAGACGTTGCCTCTCTGGTGGAACCAGCTTCTCTTTCCTCTTCTCCAGTGTGTCCAGAGGTGGCGGCTGCCACTTCCTCAGTTGTCCCTGAGTCAGCAGCTGTCCCTCTGCTGGCTGGTCTTGGTTCTGCGGTTGTCTCTCTTCCGGTGGTCCCTGGTTCCACAGCTGATGTTCCCTCAGCAGTTCCTTGTTCTGCTGCAGATGTTCTGTTTCTGTTTTCTTGTATGGGTTGGTCTTTATTTTATGCCTTGTTTTTCTTGTTTCCATGTTTCTGTGCTTCTGTGTTGCACCCAGTTCTGGATTGTTTGGGACATCTGGAGGACATCACCTGGTGCCCTCGGTATATGTACCTCTGTTCCTCATTATCTTTGTGGGATCATTGTTCTCTGTGCGTGTTTTGGGACCATGCTCTGTGTCTGGATGGCCATGTCCTGATGGTCATGCCTTGTGATGGTCATGTCCTGATGGTCATGCCTTGTGATGGTCATGACTTGTCTTCCTGGGACTCAGTGAGTTTTTGTAATTTTTGCATTTTGTGAATAAACTTCCTGCCCCTGAAGACAGTCTCCCTCATGCTGCATTTGGGTCCTGCCTGCTCCCTGACATGTCACTACACAACAGTTATAGCACTGTAATATAGCACATATAAAATACAGCAGACTGGTTGCTACAATGTAGCCTGGTGCTGGTGTAAAACAGTTTCGGCCCATTTTCGTTTTTCAGAAGACAAATTATCAACAGAAAAAAAGTCAACATCCAGATCAGATTGAAAAGTTCAGCAGTGTCCATCTATCCACAACAAACTTTAATCTTTCTCTCTGTGCTCTGCTGGAGTCCAGCCTTGTGCTTGTCCATCACTGCACTTTGAGGACAGGACTGTCAGTGGGAGCACGCGCCACCTAGTCCGACAACTCATTCAAGATGTCCTGCGGAGGAGAAAAAGTAATGTTCATGGCAGCCGTGCTCTGAGAGGAGAATTCATTTATCAGGGTGCTGGGGGAACATTGAATGATGTTGGTAAAAGGGGGGAGGCAGCCAGGTCACGGGTCTCGACTCAGCGATTCATCTTCCGACTGCGTGAAGCAGGAGAGCTCAACACTAATTTCTGCTGCAGCAGAACCCTTAGAGCACTCGGTACCGCTGAAAAGACGGGCCGGCCCTGGGCTGGTCTGGTCGGAGCTGAGTGTTATTACATAGGAGTAATGACAGCTTTATGCTCAGAGTCCAGCACCCCCTGGAGAGCAGAGTAAAGAACACAGAAAGCAGTTTGCAGTGATTTCCATTCAGGGCACCTCCATAAATGCTGCAGCGTCCAGTTGTCCTGGGCGTTAGCGAAGCATTTCCTCTCTTATTATTTTCCAATCTGCTCTGTGTGGTGGTCTGATGTAAAGCAGCATGAAACTCAGCGTTTTGTTTCCCTGTTTGTCCATAATGTTACCTGATAACATTATAATAAGAGCTGTTGAGGAATAATGAGGATGGGATATTTCTGCCACCACCGTCACTGATGTATGGGCTCAAACTTTAACTCGCTGTAGTTTTACATACTGTATAGAGCTGTGGAAATGGATGTGTTCATTAATCTGTGAAGATGAATCTGATAATTTTAAGTCATTTTAATGCTTGGGCAGAATGACACACACTGTTTGTCCAGTGTTTCTACAGTCCATTCAATGATTGTTGCTCTAATACACAGTTGATGTACATGCTACTACTGAACAATTATAAGTAATCGTAATTAATTAATTATGATTGGGATTGGTCATGATTAATCCACAGCTACCATGTGATTAAACTAATTGGTTATGATTAATTACAATTGTGTTTGATCATGATTAATCCACAACTACTCTGTGATCAGTCTGATTAATATTTTTAAACGTTTGATCGACTCTAAGCAAAAGTTACAGCTTCCGTCTGATGGGACTGTTACTTTGCTGTTCCGTTCAGACATTAATCCACAGTCTGGATGTGGTCCATGCCAGTGCACCAAACTCTGGAAGGAGTGTCTTTGTCACCTGAAACAAACCTAAATGTTTGCCCTGGGTGTGAATCTCAGCAAAGACCAGAATCACTTTAACTAACCACAGTGTAAACAGCTGACTAGCAAGAAATGAATCGAAAACACAACATAACATATGACACAGACCTGCAGTACCAACACCTGACACCATGTTACCTGGGGAGCAAATAAAAATGAAAAATAAAAAAAACAAACAACAAACAGAACCAAACAAAACACATAGGGTAAATAAAACGTGACAAGTTTCAGAGTTTATCATTTATTTTATGTTTTTACAGAACATTAACCACAGTATGGACGTTGTTACAACCAGTCGCTGCAATTCACCCGGGCTTTTTACAGTTGCTCGGTTTTGTACTAAAAGTTTATGGCATTCAAAATCAATATCAACCTTGTGACAATAGATAAAGTGGCAAGGGATGACTACACACACTGGCTTCAGTCTTCAGTCACTGCAGTCTTCCCCGGCGACAATAAAAATCTGTAAAAAGAGCCTGAAACAACTTTCTTGAATCTTTCACAGAGCTCGAAGCTGTCGTTGGATTAAATCCAACCAGTTAGGCACAGCTTATCTAAATAATAAAACAGTAATAAACACAGAGGACTTTTATGTTGACCCCACTCGACTCTGAGAGCCACCTGGCTGTAGCTTTACCTCCTGTAATGAAGTCAGCACATCTGTGCACCTCTCTGTCATCTGTTACAGCCCCAGCAGCCGGCTGCACTTATGAAACACCAACAAGAACGACAGAGAACTTGGAGACGTTCCCAGACTCTGTAGTTGGTGTCTTCTGCCGCTGTCAGCCTCGATAATCACACCCGGCCAAAAAAAAAAAAAAAAAAGAAGTAAAAGAAGACGAAGAAAAAACAAAACCTAACAGGGACAAAGTACTTAGATTAAAGCTTGGCGACTTCAGGATGCGGTACACGTCGCATCCCTGCACTGTAAACATTATTGCAATGTAAACAGTCAAATCAACTTCCTCTCTGGAGATAATACAGACTCCTTTAGTTCCTCAAAGTTTTATTGGTATTCAGAGACTCCTAAAAGTGTCTCTGAGGCACATATTTATTTTAATCAGCCCCCGCCGCTGTCAGCAGAGAAAATGTTCATTTGCCAATCAAGGCTGCATGCATAATGCTGTCACCTTGATACTGTTCCCCAGCTGCAATAAACCAACCTCTGAGGTGCAGTGGGCTCCCCGGGTTCACACATATTTTCTCAGTAAACCATGTTCATTCTCAGACGTCGGCTTTCCCTTCTTGGAGAGTGAAGAACACGGAACCGAGTCCGACCGGGCTCATTAAACCAGCTTACAGTTCTCCAACATAAATCTGATAACAGCACTTAGTCAGATGTCTGTGTGCGCGGCTGCAGTCGATGGATGCCTCCATGCTGAAAATGCATCACCCCCGCTTCACTCTTGGACACAAAAAACTGCTCATTTTATAGTCACCCACGGTGAAGAGTGTGCACGGCAACAAGACACTGTGTTATTTCAGTCTTGGCTTTGAACTCAGACCCATGCTCAGTGTTCCTCATTATGGTGTTTATTTCAAGGCGGATGAAGAGTTTCAAAATAGAAAGCAAAACAGGGTCTGGAAACACACAAAGGCCTGGGTGAAAAAAACTATATATTTATGTTGACTCAGTCAGATGTACAATAATTTAGGTAGTTCATGCTATTTTTAATTTGTTGGTAAGAGGCTAAAACACCCTGGCACAGGTTGTACCACCCACTGGTTGCTCAGAATGACAGGATCTCACTTGCTCATATCCTTTTTTTAAGTACATGTTTACCCCTTTTTGTTAAAAACATAAGTTGCTGAAGTCTGTGGTTGCCATTGTCTGACTGTCCTCTTCTTGATTTGACAGATATGTTCAGGAGGAGACGGACGTGGACTACAGGCAGGTCAGTCACACACTCCAGCTGAGCAACGGCACGAGATTCGTTTATCACCAGGGTTATGTTCCAAGACCGCCCACGATAGGGGAAAAGCCACAAAGTAGAGAAGGCAATAGTTATTTTATTTTTTACGTATAAATGAACCCTTTATGAAACATGGCAAAAACTTACAAATCTCGTTTACCCATACGTACAGGTTATTTCTTGCAATACCTTTAATATTTTTGTACTCTTTTTTTCTTCTTCTTAGGCAAGAAAATGCTTATTTTATCACAACAATATTATATATAATGTAAATGTTGGAAATTAAAAAAAAAAACTCTATATATCACAAAAACCCTCAACAGAGCGAAAAATCCACAATACAAGTAAACATTTAAAAAAAATAAATGTAAAATATTAAAAACCCCGCGACAGCAGGACCGCGATACAGCGAGAGACGACTGTAATGTGAAAAGGTTTAAATGATTTTCTACCTGGTGCAGAGAACATGTTTACCAGTGATGGGACAGAGCCCCCACCCCCATTATGAATGTTTTCCATAGGAAAACCTCAAAGAAAATGACCCCAATTACTAAACGGTTTTAGCAAATTTCCAAAGTACAGATTTTTACAAAATGTGATAACATCAGTGGAAACTTGGCTGTATTTACTTCTAATAATAGAAATATAGCACAGTGACACACCTGAGATCATCTCACAATGTCAGTGACATCACACGGTTTCCCAGAAGCCACCAGATGAAAGTGTGAGGATTCAGCAGTGAGTGTTTGCTGATCTTCACTGCCTGCTGCCAAATGTATATTGTACTGTGTCACCACAGGGCTTTCCAGCTATATGTGTGTCTGCATCCACCTGCCTGCTTCCTACTCACTGAGCACAGAACAGTCCCGTGTGATCCAAAGAATATGCAGCTGTCAGCTGGAAAAACCTACAAAAACTATACCTTCCCAAGTACAAATATGTCACACTGGTACTAAAAATAACTTCTAATCAAGTGTCAACATTGTCACAGTTATGACTGAGTGGCAAGCTCTAAAAATGTAGCTCTTATTTTTAATAATGTTATGGAGTATTTTACAGCATATGCAGATATCAGTGACAGAGTGTTGTTGTAGTACTGCATTGCCTACTGGATGACTTTAAAAAAAGAACAGCAGGTTGTTAAAAACATAAAACATACACAAAATATAGTATTGTATAGAGTGAACAAAGTAGCCAATTAAAAATAAACAAAAAGCTCTTAGATAGAACTACTGAGATTCAACATTAGCTAACATCTAACGCAAACACCCCGATTTGTAAAGATAGGTAAAATAATGTTAGTATAGACAAGTAAAATTTCATAAGAAAGCCATTAAAATTTCAAATGTTTGCCAAAACCTAAAGAGCTAAACAAGCAATTAGAAAAAATGCCAATGGTTAAGCAAGCTTCATCAGCTCATAAATATAAGTAATAAGGTTAGCCATTAACATTAAATTAGCTTAAAGTAACCATTTGCATATGTAAAAAAAAAAAAAAAAAAGCAACATAAGTTAGCTATTTAGATTTTACATGTTGGAGCTTATAATTAATTAAAAGTTACCTAATAATTTCCAAGTAAAACTATTGTTAGCATAATAATATCTTAAAATAGACAAACTAGCTTAACAAAGCCATTTAGAGCTTTTAAAAATAGCTTAAAGAGCTAAACATGCAACAGAAAACAATGCTAACATCTAGTCAGGAATTAAGTTTTTTTTTTCTCATCTCATATTGTCAAGATATATGATTAATAAAGTTAGTCGTTAAAATTAGCTAATGATTTGCTAAAGCCATGTTAAAAATTGCGGAGAGGACTAAAATAATAATAGCCTCGAAATGGCCTAAAAAGACATACCACATGATGCTAGTCATTAAAATCACATTGACCAAGGTTCACTTTGAAGTGCAAAATGAAAATAAATGCTATCAGCTAGTCTTGAAGTAAGCTAAATTTAATCTCATATCAAATATAATTAATAAGGTTTGACAGACGTCAACCAAAAGTTAACCAACAACTGGTTACAAAAAACAAATAAATACTACAACTGAATTCCTCTCAACAATTGTTGCCTTGTTGTCATAATCCTGTTTTATATTTGTATAAATAAACGTTTAAACGACTGGCAGAGTCCGCGCTGATCCCTCTGACCTCATGTGCATTTAATTCACACAGAGCTTTTTCTCCCCCCACCAGCCTTTTTACCCCAGAGGCAGACTAATCTGTCAGACCACACGGGTTCACTCATTTCTATGATGAGAATAGAAGTTGCTGTAGCTGCTGGTGTCCTGCTGTGCCAGCCAGAGGCGTGCCATCGCACAGCAAACACATGAGAAGAAGACTTGAGCAGACCGGAGCAGACGGGAGCAGCGTTTAATGTGGACTAAAAACTAGTTTTTAATCCACTCTCTTCTTCTCCTTTTTTTTTTTTTAGGTGACAGCAAGTCACTTCATCGCACTTTATTAGGAGAATGCAATGACTTGTTTTGAGCTGTTCTCTGCAGACATCCCAGAAGTTCCAACCTTGGAAGAATGATGCCGGACTCTCTCCTGCGTTCCCTGCTGCCTGTCGTGGCAGTGGCCGTTGTTGCAGCCGTGAGCGGTGAGATTTATGACTTTATGGCTTTTCCTGTTGAGGAAGTGAACTTTTTCCTTGGTCTGTGTTGTGCAGTTTGTGTCAATAATAGTTATGGGAAGCAAACCCTCAAATCCTGAGTTTATGAAGACGACTGCACTGGATTTGGCACAGTGCGTTTCCAAGAGAGCAAAAGAAATGTTCAGATTGAATAAATATTTGCAACTGTGCAAGATTTACTCTTGACTTGGGGACAATAATCCACAGTTGAGTCCTGATAAATACAAAGAGTGAGAGAGCAAAGTTTCTTCCTAATGACGGACATTTTTGTTTACCCCACAACCCTGTTTGTCCCTTTGCCTAAAGAATGAAAATGGCAGCAGGGTGCAGCGGGGGCGGGGTGGGAAGAGAGGGGGGGGGGGGGGGGGGGGGGTGATCCCGGGGTTGCACAGCTGTTCCTCTGCTTGTTTAAAGATAACCTGCGCTGGATGCGGGGAAAGTCGGTAAGCTGTCTGTCCGTCTGTGATACAGATATCATAAGAAGGACTACTCTCTGAGATTGGACATGTTTAAATCTGGACATGATATACTGTGTGTATGCCTGTGTGTGTGTGTGTGTACTTTCTATCACAAAAACTGTACACAAACTAGAATTGCCAGTTGAGGACTCAGCTGTGCAGCTCTGTCCTCAGAGATAGAGACTTTGATTTTCATGCATATGATGAATCAAGGTCTGTTTGTTTTTCCTCACCTAAAACAAACAAACTAAAATATTTCTTGTTGCAGTCAGTCCTGTCTGAGATTTAGATGATTCATTTTGTTCAATCAAACCTTAACTCAAGGCTCAAATGTAGTTTTCCACTGTGTAAGTCACTGTGTGTGTTGGCTGCTTTCTAACGTGCAGTCAGAATAACAAGTGCACACATCTGATAGAAATGACCAAATTAGACCTGCGGTCAGGGAGTGTTTACTACTATCAATGCAGTGGTGCAGTTGGTGAGATAGCGAAGGCGATTTAATATTCCGTTCCGACCTCAGATGGAGTTCCAGTTCAAACCTCAGACTTACAGCTATGGTAATGATGGCAACAGCTACGGAGTCACGGTTGTGAAGATGAAGCTCCAGGTGAAGAATGAGGCCTCACTTTACATTTACATTTATTTACATTTATGCATTTAGCAGACACTTTTATCCAAAGTGTCTTACAAAAGGGGGAGGAGGCAGGAGAGGCGGTGACACAAATGAAACACAAATCTTCTCTGATCCTCACAGATTATGCCAAGTTATATTTACGACTCATGTGTAAATATACCGATAGAGAAACCTTACATTTGTCATGAACAACTCTGTGCTCATTACGTGTAATAAATAAATCTTTGGTTGGAAAGAGCTCTAATTTTCTGACAACACGTCAGTAGTGACGTTGAAAAGCAAATAGAAAACACACAGAAAATGGTTCCCAGCATTTATTCTCATTTCTTTGTTTATTGTCTCAATTGAAGAGATTGAATTTGAATCTGCAGACAACACAAAGACGGATCTGTTGAATATGTCAGTGTGTTTGTTCTGCATCTTACCCTCTGAAATACCCCCTCAGTCTAAATATCAGCTTTCACATCTGTCTTCTCCTCTTATAGATTCTCCATGGCCGTCAATGAACTAAATTGGTTTGCATAAATGTTTTCATGGCACATACACAGTAGTCTCCCAAGACATTCATAAGAAGGGGATCATTTTCTTTTTTTTGCACCACATTTGCCTGTAGTGATGTTATTTTTCTGTGGAATAAGGGAACACATTATTTCTAGAGCACTTCAATGTGCAGAATGGCACATTACCAAGTGTCTTTGGCAGGAGGAAGTGGGGGCCGTCATATATAGCAATCCTGGATTTTTTGAGAGGCTTTTTAACACTCTGATGCTGCATCTATTATTCCCTTTCTTTCACTGTGTACAAGCAGTTCATGCAGAGTGGGCGCTAACATTTGTGTCAAGGAATATCCATACCTGAGACCCGGGGTGCAGACTGGAGGGTACATATATAATATGATGAAAACTATGGCAACAAATAACAACAAAAGACAATCTTTTATTTACCTGAAAATGAATATAATTTGGACTCATTTGCTTTGGATTTTGGCAAAGAAATGCACTTTGCTGCTCAATGAGGCTGCAGGAAATGGTTTGGGTCATTTAAGCCACATAATCAGATGGTATTTTTAGTTTACAAATATCAATCCATCATCCATATTTGGGCATAAAAATTCGCTGTGCTGTAGAGCATTTTTGGAATAATCATGTGACTCTTTAGTGCATTGATTAGAACACCGGTGTTTTGGAATAATATCCATCATTTATTCAAATGATGAACTAATTGCATTGATTAACATTTGCCCTCCAGAGATGCTGTTCTCACCCCTAGCCTATTACTACAGTATTCTACACTAATTGTTTGGCAAACAAACAATAATAATAATGATTGAGTCTCTCATTCGTACCACAATGGGAAAATTCACAGTGTAAGTCTTTGCAACCCACATAGGCTGCTACAGCCTGGGATTGGCCATTAGGATATGTGGTTCTTCTAGGACTCTAACCCAGGACCTTCTGTGTGTAAGGCCGATGTGTCACACATCATGACATCGAATCATGATTTCCTAACTTCACTGTGTTTACCTCCTTTGTTCCTAGTTGCTGAGAGTCAAAATGTTGCTGAAGCTCTTGAGACATCCATCCCTCCAACGCCGCTCTATCCCAGCATTAACTTCAACATCGTCAATGTGGACCATGTGTTTCTGAAGCAGGACAGTCCAAAGTCTGTGGGAAACTCCGGTCTGAACGCTCAGACTCAGACGTTTTACATCACTGACTCCAGGGCTGCTGGGAATCTCCAGTCCATGGTCAACGCCTCCTACGGTCCTCTGACTGTTGATGCTCCGATCTCCAGAGACCTGCTCCTGAGCGGTCGCCGGATCCTGCCGGTCATCTTGGCCCGCCAGGTCCGTTCTTCTTCTCCTGTTGTAAGGATCCTGTTCCACATGCATTCGGAAAACAACTTCACAGTTGGACAACAGTGGAAAGGATCAGAAGACGATAAAGAAAGGAAAAGTGAGAGAGTCGAGAACAAAGACGCAGCTCACTGTGTCACGGCCTACGCTTTCTGGGAGACGAGGGAAGTTCGTGGAGCGTGTTTGGTGACTCCAGGTGGCTTCTGTGTGGCAGAGCTCAAACCAGAACCTGCCTGGTTCATCTGGACCAGTCGACCAGTGGGATACAGCAGGGACGCTGGTAAATCAGAAGGGACCAAAGGAATACAGGGGAACCTGGTGGAGGTCTACTTCCAGAGCCGGACTGACCCGTCAGGAGTGTGTACACCACAGGACAGCCTGCAGCGGGTAGGTGTGGGCTTTGGGATGTCAGGGACACCCATGAGGCGGGTCGGGAGTGTGAATCTGATCAGAACTCCACCGGGGAACCCCGCCTTACTTCGACTTAAGCTCGGAGGATCGGTGGTGATCCAGACCTCTTCCAAAGTTCTGAAGTCCACAGATGTTGCGACTTTTTCCGTCTTCCTGGCCAGCGCATCCACCATGGAAAACTTTACACTCAGGTCAGTGACGTTTGATTTGATTTGAAGTGTAGACATTGTTTTATATCAGGGGTCACCAACTATATTTGTCAGAGGGTCAGAATATTTCTGGGCAGACACCTTGGGGGCTGGACACCCAAATAAAATGTAATAAAAATCACATTTTGCGTAACAGAATGTAAGTAGGTCATCAATGGTGGGGATTTCTGCTTGTTATTTTGTCCCAGTTGTTGTTTATTTCAGTTGCTGTAACAGTTAGGACCACACCATGTTGTCTCTTTGAGTCTCATAATTTAGGAATCGGGTTGGACGGTCAGGTGGGCTACATTCAGCCCGTGGGCCACCACTTGATGATCGCTGTTTTAGAACATGACATGGCGTACGTCTGAAAGAGATTTTCGAATAGAAAACAGCTTGTGCTTGTCTCCACCTCAGCTGGTATTTTTAGTGGAAGGCAAAAAAGAACTCGCTCTTGACTCGACTCAAAAGGAAACAGTAGGAGTATGGATCCTTCAGTCAAACTCTAAACAATAAATAATAAAAACATCTGATAAAATATCTCCGATTTCTTTCAGAGAAAACTCCAACTTTAAGCTCTTTTATTCATAAATGGCATGAAAAAGCTGCTTGTCTGTGTACTTTACTCTGTAGGAATTTTAATAACATCCTTTGGACTGTGCACCAGTTGCCATCTTTTGCATTCAGTTTAACACTCTCCTCTGGCAGTGGTGGTTCATTGCTGAGGGGCTCTGAGGTCTCCTGGGGGCGAGTCAATGCCAAGCCTGTGGTAATTTGAGATAAGTCCAAGTTAAATCTCAGAACTGTCAGTGCAGCTCTCAAGTCTTGTGGGAAAGTGGAAATCTGTCCCTCATTAGAAAAAAGTTGACATTCAAGTCCAGTCTGGTAATTACTGTGGACTTAGAGATTGTAAGTCTTTCATGCCATGACTTTATTTTGGTGCTGTGGTTGCTGTATTTCCTATTTGGGTTACTTTGTTTTAAATAAATAAAAGTTGACATCATACGTATTATTTTTTTAAAACCTCATGTTTCAAATTAACCAAAAAATGTTCTATTTCCTCTGGAAACATTATCAAAAATTGAATGCCAAAAATCTGTCGACCAAAGTCCAAATTTAAAATAATCTCCATCAGATTTCTGCTGTTCTCCTGCAGTTGTTGTTCTCCTCTTTTCTCACCGTACCTGGAGTAAATCGATCTTAACGCTTGACTGTTCACCACGCCAGCCCCTGTATCGTCCTCATTTAGCATCTCACCTGTAGTGAGATGCTCAAATTATGAGGTAAATTGCAGCTACTAACAGTGCGGAAAAATGTTTTTGGAAATCACTTAGAAAATGTTTGGTATTCATTTAGATTTTTTTTACAAAACATCATCAACATAAAAAATTGGTAAAGTCACAAGTAACAATTGCAAGTTTTCTATAAATCAACATAAATTAAAAAAAGCTAAACGATTATTATGTCACGGATGTCAGTAGATGAATGCCAGTGATTAGCTTCAGTTACGGTGCCAATATTTCGATATGTTTTAGAAGTCATTAAAAACCTCGTCTTGGCCTTTATGACTTCCCTTTTTAATATGAATTTAATAAAATAAATAAAATAATATTAGTCTCTTATTCCTCCTTACAGTAAGTCTTTGCAACCCACACATGCTGCCACTGGAGGTGCTATTTAGTACGTGGTTCCTCTGGGGATTGAACCCAGAACGATGAGGACGTACTGTATGTTCCCATTAGGGTTAACGTTTTACTGTTGAACACAGGTTTTCAGGTCTGTGTTTAACCTTTATGCTGATATGAAATATTCCAGAGAATTTACGCTCCTGCAGGATAGTAAATGTGGCAACATCACACTTGGTAGTAAATTACGTCTGTCAAAAACATTAGTAAGACTTAGAAATATGTTTGCTGAGTTTGCAGAGACAAGTGTTTGGAAGGAGTAGCATGAAATTTAATTATCAGTGAAACATGAGACGCAGAAGAAGATACCGCTGCCAGATTGAATCATCATGATGTACAGTACGTTCATGCGTCTTCATAAGCGATAACCTCCATGCATTTAAATGGTTACTTAAGCCACTTGAAAACTGATGGAGGCCGCCAACAAGGCCGCGCTCCGAAACGCTCCAGAGCTGTTGTGACTTGTGTCATCTGCCAGTTTCACTGGCTTCGTGAATTACTGACGTGTTATATATGCCATATGCCGCGACTCCAGAGTTAGTGCAGGAGTTATGAAGAGCATTCATCCACAAACGGGGAAATAATTGGCAAATGATTCACCAGTTTTCATATCTACACAACCCACAAACATTTCAACAAGGTTCTCTGGGTGTTTGGCTTCATAAATAATGCATCAATTCAAATGGAGTGGGAAGACAAATAACCACCGTCCGCCTGACTCCTCTGGGTGAAGTGAAATATATATGTATGAAAAGCAGCCTCAATGCACCGAACGCATAGATCAAACACTTTTGGGAAGTTTCAAATACATATCCCAGAGGGAAGTGATTGTTTTTTTTCTTTTTTTATCAGAATGTTCCCGATCAGCAAAGTGTGTTTTGCCGGTCTTTGCCCGGCTTAAATGGTATGTCTGAAATGTAAGACGAGTTTCTCCGTAATCCCGCGATTTAAGCGACATCATACCACAAACGTGTAATCTCGGGGACAAATACAAAGACGTATATATCAGAGTTAATCCTTGGTAAAAACCTGTAGCTGTGTGTCAGATAAACCCTCTTCACAAACGACCACGGACCACTGCACTCACTCACTCACTCACACAGACCCAGTGACCTGGATGTGGCTACGCCAGCGTTATGAAAATTAGACTTAAATGAAAAGATGCCGGCCTCTGAGCGTCTGCTGTTGTTTAGATTATTTCTATCCTCCTCAGCTCTTATTCCTGGAGCAGGTAGTCACTGACCATGCCACTAAGGTTCCCCCTCCAGCGGGTTTAGGGATTTCACTCTGTCTGTTTCTGACCCACTGTGACGCAAGAGAGTGAGTTTGGATGAGACGAGGGAACTGACTCCAAGTGGAGTGCTAGCTCTGAGGAGCTTGGCAACGTCAGAGTTCTGCCCTGGAGAGGAATCCCTGGCTGTTCTCCTTCACTCTGCGGCTCCAGAATCAGACCACAACTGTAGGACAGGGTCAGGCTGGATAATCTGGGCCTCTGATTGAAGCTGACTTTACTCTGTAGCCGTTGATATGACCGAGGTTGATCAAGGTAGGATTAACCCCGTACATGCCAGTGCACGTGTACTGTGCACGTGAGTGTTTTCCACTGGTAAACGGTGTATGGTCTGGACTTTATTAGAGCCTTCAATGCAAACTGGACACCACCCCAGTTTCCTCGATGAACATAGACTGTAGTTTGCCAACATTTGGTACTAATGTATAGCTGTGTCACATGGCCTCTGGGCCAAAGCGCCACCTGAACATAGGCTGTAGTTTGTATTTGATATCAATGTATTAGCTGTCACATTTATGTCAAATTGCTTTTGCTATTTTTTTGCTCAATTTTGTTTATTATTGCTGCATCATCATTCTACACATTTAACTATTCCTTTGTTGAGTTTGGTGATACGTGATTACAATGTTTAGCTTTCTAGGCTACAAATATTTAATTTTTTGACACATTTTAATTCCTAACCTATTTTAGATAAATACAAACCAAATGTATGTCCCACTATTTCAATATTTTTACATACTTTTGTTTTTTATTTTTATACTAAATACAAACCAAATGTATGTCCCACTTTTTCAATATTTTTACATACTTTTTAGTTTTTTATTTTTATACGTTTTTACTATATTTTCATTTAATGTTTTTTTTATTTTTACATATGGGGCCATTTATTTTGCTTTACAATGGAGTATTAGAGCCACATGAGAAGAAAAATGTGATTTTAAAGCAATAAGAAAGAATAAAGTCAAAGCATCGTAGGCTCTAAAGGTTTCTGAGAAAGGTCATAATTGTATGAGAAAGTTGTTACGTTATGTAAATTAGGTCGTAAGTTATTGATTTTAACATGGTTTCCCCTGGACACTTGGACTTGACACGACACTTTGTATGACACATTTATACTAATATTGCAACTTTATCCTTATAAATTTATTTTTTTTCACATAATTCTTCGACTTTATTCTCGTAAAATTATGACAATCATTTTAATTTTTATTCTCATTGTATCCATAAAACTCCAATGTAACTGCTTTAAGAGCTGATCTAATGTAGCTGTCTTCTACGTGTCTTCAGGTTTTAGCTACAGTAGTTATACTTTCCATGATTGTTAGCTTTCTTGGCTAGTTTATCTACCTTTGGCTAATCTCAACGGTTTGTCCATCTGTCTGTATGTCTTTGTGTTCCTACTGCTGCTTCCTGCAAAAACATTTTTCCAGGCAGTTTCCTTTAATGCTTGACCTTTGGTCTTTTTTCCATGTTTATTATACTTTTCATTAAGTTATATTATTATTATAATTATTATTGGCAGAAAACTGTTTTATTCCTATGGCCGGTATCAGATATTTATTTTCTAAATGTAACCAGTTTTTGTTATTTTAATGTTTGGACAATTTTACATATACATTTTCTTCCAAAGTACAGTTTGTTTTTACATTTTTGTTTATTTTTTAATCAAACTTTTTCTAGGTATTTGTAGGTTAACGTTGTATTATTTATTTGTTGAATATAAGGTAATTTCACAAAGATATATCTTTTTGCATTTTAGCCTTTTTTGTTTTTTAATCTTCAAATCATTTTTGTAGTGGTGTAGAGTTCAACTTTTGGAGACAAGCTGTTAACATATCTTTATTGCTGATTCTTGAGTTCCAGTCAGTAGCCTTCACAGCAGTGATGTCAAAAAAAGGCAAAGCAGCATAACAATGTAAATGGATATGGATTAAAACATAAAGAAAAAGTAACATTTGATGGGATTTCCATACAATAAAGCGATATAACAGTAGGGTTTTCTTGCAAATATAATGGATGAATATTCAAGTCAAATCCACACTGTGGCAGGAGCAGCAGGGTAATTTACTATGAGAGAAACAAAAGAATCTGGAACAATACAAGTGTCAGTGAAGTTAATTTGTTAGTCAGATGAATTAACAGGAAAATAACAAAGACGTTGAATGACTGCGGTGAGACGGTGATGAGGAGCTGTTCATTTTTCCACTCCACTTTCTGACCCTGCCTGCAGGAAGTGATTGACAAAGACAGAGTTTGAAGAAAGAAAAAGTCTGAAATGAGTTTTCTCTGCAGGGAGTCTTGTGTCTTTCTGCGGGTGAGTCACTCACTGCCCTTTTCTGCCGACACCAAACTGATGACTCAGGTTTTCATCCAACACACTGGTTGAATCCTGCACATTCATTACACTGAGTGAAGGAGAGCTGTGAGGAGGCTAGTCTGGGTTAGGCTAGTTAGGCTGAAAAAACCCCCCAAACTTCTCTAACTGTATTAGTGCAGCATCACTCTGCTGCACCGTGTGTGTGCGTGCGTCTGTATGTGTGTCATTTTGTGTGTTTTGTCTGTCTGCTGAACAACTCTGACCTTGACCCTGACCTCAGTGGGTATTGATCAGTGCAGTGGCTGTTTGATCACACATCAGTGTCTGTGAACATGTGTCCTCGGCGTCTGTGCTGATGTGAACCAGTGTGTGTGTCTGATCCATCTGCTATTCTTAGGTTCTGTTTGAAGATGCTTGTGTCAGACACAAACTGTTGTTTGGTCTCATGAAACGCTGACAGATTGTTGGTTGTGAAGTAGCAGGTTGTAACCATGAACCATGACAAGAAAAGACAACGGAACAGGAGAACAAAATGATTTCCTCGTCAGATAATGCGCTAAACTATCATTTTGTTCCACGTCTTCACATCGTGCTGTTGTGGATTATTATCGCAGCATCAGGTGCGGTGGCTCCGCGGCCTCTGCTGGGTGTCATTTGCTGCTGTTTGAGTCACAGTGGGCACATTTGGATTAGTCACAGGGACTTTGTGAAGTTGTGTCACTAGTTTTATCTGCAGGCTATCGCTCTGCTAGCCTATGCTAATGTGTGCTGTATTTTGGCTATATTACGGTGTTCCTCAACTTTGCATTAATAGATAGATTTGAGCTGTTTTTGTCTCATCGCTAACACTGCTAACAGTGTTTTATTTATTACTAGATGGATGGATGGATGGATGGATGGATAGATAGATAGGTATATGGATGGATGGATGGATGGATGGATAGGTAGATAAATGGATGATAGATAGAAATCATGATGAATGGATGGATGATAGATAGAAATCTTTTAGCATTTAGCTAGCTTTGGATCAATATGCCTTCTTTTATTTATTTATTTAATATTTATTTGCATTTTTAAATAAGGTAAAGTGGAATTTTCTCTACTGGTCTTGCCAAAGACAATGAGCTGAAGACATAAATGGTAATTTTTGTTTTATTTCCAATGGACAATTTGGACGTCATTTTCAAACCATGTTCAAATTCCGTGATGGCAGACAACCGTAACAAAAAATGTGGATTTCTCTGTCACGGTTGTGCATCGACAAATACCTCATTCACTGGAGGCCTATGGCAGGCAATTCCCTCTTTTTTTTCAAACACAAACACACACACACACACATAATTCTGAGATGGTTACAGAGACTTCAAACCACTGTTGTTCCATTTGGCAATTCGCAATTCCATGGCTGAGCTTTTTTAAATGACTCCCAGCGTGAACATCCTGCTGACAGATATATGAGCCAAGTGATGCTCTCCAGTGGGCGATGGCTAGATTCCCTCTGGAAGGCGTCCAGAACGTCTCTGAATCCATGCCATGAGAAAATTGGGCTGTTTCTGTAAACACAGGAGGCCCCCACCTGCAGTTAGGTGTCTGTGTGAGCGCAGATTAGAGAATTGGTGCTTTTAATGTAATTACCCTGTTGTACCTCTCCTCCTCCTCCGACTGTTATTACTGCCCTTTGATGGTGTTGGATGACGTTTGACAGAACGACCCAGCAGAGGGTCGTCTGCTCTTTGAACAGAGGGAATCTCTCTCTATCGTGGTGTGTGTTGGACTTGCGTGTGTGTTTGTTTCACACACAATATTTACAACAAGTGCCGCGGTTCTCCTGGCAGACGGACCTGTGTGTGTCTGTCGGAATCAGACGGCTGATTAAAGTGATTCCCGGTCTCCTTCCAGGGTTTATGGGAATGAAATGGATGTGTTACTGTAACTCTCAGTCTGCTGGCAGACCCTCCGTGTCAGCTCCGCGGTGACGTCTTTGGTGTTTCACAGCGCTCTTCCTGTCATTTGGATGGATTCAAAAATGTGAACATGTGTGAATGAGACAGACACACATGTCCCTCCTGACCAGTCCATCTCCTAAATGCTAGGAGCTCTAACAGCTGTTGATTTTTTTGTGTGTTAAGTGAAAGGTTGAAATAATTTATTTTTGCATAGAGTGTTTTTACACGTCAGCTTTCCTGTCGCTCCTATGTTGAAAGGGTAAAACTGTGCTAAAAGGGAAATCATTTTACCTGAACAGTTCTGAAGTGTAGAGTTAGTTTGAAAGATTTCATTCAAACGTCAGAATTATTGCTCGTCAGAATGTGAGCCAGCAAAACCAAATCAAGGACGGTTTTACTGAAAAACAAATTATTTATAGTCATAAAAAAAGTTATGCCAAAAAATTGCACAGGTTTTCAAGTATTTTTTTAACATGACAAACTCTTCATGTGTACCATCTTTTTTTCTCTCCTACAGGGCCACAGCGAAACCAGGTCTGTCCTTCAGTACAGCCCGGACCAGTGATTCAACACTGTGGGACATCAGTGTGAATCCTGACAGAGAGTCGTCTCCCAACTCTGTGTCTGTCGTCTGCCACAGGAAGGTCGCTACCACTGCCAAAAGGTCAGTGTTTCACATGTACAGAACCTGGACTGAAACCTGAAGGCCTTGGTTAGTAAATTTAATATGGAAAAAAACAGAATGCACCAAAAAAGAAAAAGAAAAAAAACATTTCAATTTTTCTGGGACCACAAACTCTTACAATATTATCTACACCAAAACAGTTAGTAATCTTCATTCTATACCTTGTGTTTTCTCAGATTTGATTCATGTCTCCTGCTGCTACCTGGAAACACGATCCGTTAACTTGAACCTCACAGTTCTGACATCTGTGTCATACTTTCTTCTCGGAAGAGAACATAGTTATGCAGAGTCTTGGGTGAGGTGTAAGAAGCTGAATAATTCATGTCTATGAGGAATCACAGTAAAAGGAAATTAGCGTTGAATATGTACAAGATTCAGGTGCTGTATAGTTATCTCTGGTTTCAGGTTGGAATGATGCCGAAAAAACAATGACATCACTCAGGTCTTGTTTTCTCAGCATGGGGTTTGACAAGTCCAGGACATGAAGATATTACTGCAGAAAGAGGAATATTTTATGTTAACGTTGGAAACAGCATAAATCCATGTTGTGATTTTAATAATCTGTTAGACCATGTGTCTTTTTAATATTTGTATTGTGAGTTGTAGATGATAAGAATTCAACTCAGAAATAAGAGCTTATAAACTCCACTCAGCCTCCAGTTAGTTTTTAGAGCTCGCAGCAGAAGAAATAGGATTGAACTGGGAGTTCATCTGGGTTTGTTTTAAAAACTTCACAGCAAACAAACTAGTATTTAAAATACTATGAACATTTTATGTCAACACTTTTCACTAAAGGGTGTAAAACAGAATGGGCCTGAATAACCTTTTATTGACACCCATTAATGCCCGCGTGCCGCAGCTTTATCACCTGTTTTCTGTGATTCTGATAATTGGGAGGTTGTAAATTTGAACGCTCTCTGGTAAAACGCTCAGAATACATTCATAAAACACACTGGATGATTTCACCAGATTGATCTGTCATGTGTGTGTGCTCATACACACACATACACACACACGTCGGAGGCCACCTCTGCCCAGCAACTTCACTCCACAGATTATCTTTAATCATCCATAATCACTGCTCCGTTATCCAGGCTTAAGCTCTTGCACGTTCAAAAGAAATGATTAAGATATATATATTCCAAGTTATGTCCCTGATACTGAGCCCCACTCACCAGAACACACACACACACACACACACAGTGGTACATCCATGTTCCTGATTTCCACAAATAGCGAGTGATTTCATGTTTTCAAAAATATCCTCTCACATTAAATTGTTTCATGAAGAAACGCAGGAGCCACCGACTGGAGGAGAACATTTTACTATGTTGAAAATCAAGGTGGATTTAGGCTTTTATTAAATTATTATTATTATTATTTTAAAAATCTTTTCTCTAGTAAAGACAAACAACAAAAAGGGGGAGAAGGGAGTGGTAGAAATACTCCAGCTTCCAAACCTGTGGCCAGCAGAAAAGTCTGAGCCACCCTTTATTCTTATCCACTTTAGCTTTAAATGCAGATCCAGTATCTAAATGCCAGAAACCAGCAGAGCAAGGTGAAAATCTCCACTGAAAGTTAATAGGACAATGGACAGTCAAAAACATTTTATAAAATTGGAAAAACATACATACTTTATGGGTTTTTTTTTTGCTGCATATTATTCATTTCAGTCTAAACCCTTGTACTGTTACAGACACAAGAACTAATGTTAGCTAAAATAATCCTCGTACACACCCAAGCTAACATTAGCTACAAGAGCCATGGTACAGACACCAGGGCTAACTTTAGCTACAACAGTCCCAGTACAGACACTAGAACTAACGTTAGCTAAAATAGTCTTAATACAGACACCAGAGCTAACATTAGCTACAATGTTCCTGGTACAGACATTATACAATGTTCCTGGTACAGACATTGAGCTAACATTAGCTACAATGTTCCTGGTATAGTCACAGAACTAGCGTTAGCCGACAATGTTCCTGGTACAGACATTAGAGCTAACATTAGCTACAATGTTCCTGGTATAGTCACAGAACTAGCGTTAGCCGCAATGTTCCTGGTACAGACATTAGAACTAACATTAGCTACTATAGTCGTACTACAGACACCAGAGCTAACGTTAGCTACCATAGTCCTACTACAGACACCAGAGCTAACGTTAGCTACTACAGACAGCAGAGCAGACATTTTCAGCTGACCTAACTTTTTCCCAGGACAGTAAAGGCATTGTTGGCTCTTCCCTCCCTTTAATTAAGTCTGTTTGTCTAATCTTAGCCCTCACCCCCATTGCTGGAGGTTTTGTTGCCTCTTTTGTACATTGTCAAAGTGTTGCTTTTTTGTTGTTATTTTTGTTCTCCGAGAAATGGTGTAAAAACCCACACTGATTGGCCACGTGAGTCATGCAGCATCCTCTGCTTCTGCCGTCTGCTCTCCACCGTTTCCAAAGTCTGCTTTTGCCAGTGGCAACAACTAGAAAGCCACAAACTAAAAACGATAGGTTTTAATTTAGATTTGTATCTTGCAATCACAGGGTCTCCATGCTGTTCGTCTTTCACGGTTTTATGAGGCGGGGAATTAATAGGGGCTTTAATGACGGCGATAATCTCCACATGTTCAAAGTGTTCCGCCCAAAAATGTTACCCCTGACACTTATTTGGGAGAATGGTCGCTGTTCTCGGGGCTTATCTTTCTGCCCAGGACAAATGTGATTGCTTTAAAAACGAATGAAGAAGGCTGAGTGAATTCCCTCTAATAATAGAAAGATAATGTCTGCAGCCCGACCATCCTGCAGTGCTGACACAGAGCCCAGGAAATAGGCCTGGCTACGCAAGGCTAATCTACAAAATGCTTCGGTGTGAGGACCATAATGTGCAAACTGTTTGGTGGCCCATCTGACCATCTGAACATTCATTCTGTTTGGAAACTAAAAGAAAAAGGAGTTGGTTTTCATCTCCTCTCCTTGGCCTTTTTGTATTATTTATATGATGCAGTGACTTTAACTTAAATTTTCAGCTTTTTAGATTAAGCATTAATTGTAGGTCCAAAGCCTGAAAGCCACGTTGAATGCAGACTTTCAGTCTGTGTGCATTTGAATAAAAACCACCAGTCTAAAGCCTATGGCTGAACACATTCATCCAGCTTTTCATTAGTGACCTAGAGTGCTGTGCACATCCTGAATAACAGTCTTTTATGTTCCTGTTCGTTCAGCGATCCACCTTCGCAATCCTTGAGTTTCTTTTGACGAGGCATGGATCCTGGCTCTACACTGTAGCTGCCTTTGTTTATCCTTTTGGCTGCTGATTCCAAATGTTTTTTTTATCACTTTATTAAATGGGAGTTTTTAGCATTATGGCGTGGCTTTCTTCAATGCTAACTTTCAATGATCACTCGGTGACACCACTGTGACTCACATTCTGCCTGATTTTTCCCTTTGATGTGCATCACTGACAGATACACCCACACTCTCTGCGCAGCATCAAATGGCTCTCCTTTGACAGTCCTTTGACCAGAATGCTGGGATTAATTCTGTACCTGCTCCCTTAATCTCCCCTCGACACCCTCACCCTATTCTCCAACCTGCTGACAGCAATGTGACCTGTTGTGGGTTCAGTATTTTTTGATCACTTGCGTTTCAAGCTTTGTGGCTTTTGAATCCCCCCGTACAGAGCCTGCTTTATTTGAACTCTTCATATCTACTTCTACTAAAAAAACAAAAAACGACTTTTTCATTTGCAGAACTGTTTCCTTTTCAAACACACGTCTTTTTCATGCATCTCCTTACTTACTTTTAAAAATGTTCCCAGTATGTTTGTAAATGTATAGTATCACTACAATAGCTACAAGAGTCCTGGTACAGGCACCAGAGCTAATGCTAGCTCCAACAGTGCTGGTACAGGCACCAGAGCTAATGCTAGCTACTACAGTCCTGGTGTAGACACACGAGTGAACGTTAGCTGCAACAGTCTGTGGTTTGTTTTGTTAGGTGTTGATTTGAGTTGATTGTGAATCACTTCAAGTGATTCTCTTTTAGCCTGAGGTGAGACTCAGAGCCAGAGAAGGCAGTGCAGACTGACTAACTAAAATACATATACATGTTATATATATTTAAAACTGCGTTTGTTTGTTTCACCTGGGACCAAGTTTCCTGTGTTTTTACTAATTATATTAATTACAGTTAATTACAGTAGCAAATATGAGTTTGCTGTCATTTGTATTTTATGAAAGATAGCTTTAACACATAAAAATATATAGCCTTTATATAGGTATACATTTACTTAATTAAATATACTGACAGCTTCTATTTTTGGAATTTGAGCTTAATTATTATTATTATTATAAGGGTTAAGGGTTGTTTAGTTTAGTTGTTGCTGCAAAAGTCATTGAAACCTTCTCTTTTCCTGCTAATATCTGAAGTCGCAGCAGACCTTGAATAACATTGGCCATTTTGTCTTTAAACAGGGGTCTGCTGGAGGTTTTACAGCTTGACTTTGTGCCAAAGGATGTCACACAGCAGGCCGAGAGTCAAACAATTTCCTGGCGTCTGGATTCACCGGGGAATATCAGGGACGGGGGAATAATGAAGATCTACACCAGTCAGAGAGACTACGTGGGGCTGGCTCCTCTGGTCACGGTGAGGACGACGTCCGCGTTGATTCATCTTAATAACGTTGACCTTGTAGCCTTGATTTAAATCGTTTCTTTACATATGTTACAATAACGCAAACGCTGCTGCAAAATCCGACGCACCTGTTTTGTTTGACGTGATCACAGGGTGACATTGTCACGTTGTTTGTTTACACCGACTCCCTGCTGTTGTCTGAACAAACCTTTCCAAGAACAACCTCCAGAAATTACGAGGTAGATCCATCTGTGTGTTTGACTGCAGATTCTGACACTTATTTCATGCTACAGCAGTCAGCGTGAATACGACAGGGACCGCAGAACAAATCTGTCTCCTATCCGTCATTTACTGCATTCACAATGCAAAACTTTAGTTTTTGGTTTCTGTGGTGTAAAAACAGATTTGTATGAGGAGGTTTTTTTTCTTTTTTTCTTTATCAAGCCAGGAGAAAAAAAAGCTCAAATTTATGTAAATCCAGAGTCTACCTGGAAATGTTTTTTGTAGTATATTAAAACTCTGCTCTGATAGTTGGCTAGAAAATTAATTTAAATAGTTTTATCTCACCACCAACAGTGCTGGAGCGACCCTTGGGTTTATTAAATACAATATAAGGCTACTGTAACACAATTTAAGGGTGACACTTAGATTTATAAAATTAATGGATTCATTAAATTAATTTCATTGAATGGCTAATTTATCCAATCAGCTAAAACTAAAGCTCCCTTAAAACTATTTCAAATTCTCTGCATAATATTTTAGATTTTTCCAGAACATGTTTGACTATTTTTTATGGAGGTTTTATATATATTTTTTTTAATTTGTTGTGAATCTATTCTGATTCTGTGCTTACCATTTTTGACTTTTTGGCTTATCTTTAAGACTTTTTTTCTATTTGTTGTTAGACACATTTGCCACTAAAACGTGTCTTTCTGTCTTTTTGGTTCATAGCTCATTCATCTCTGCTACATCTCGCCTAGTTTACAGCTCTTTTGTGAAGAGAATGTTTGTCTCGCAGCTATTTTTGGTTTGACTCCTTGGATTCTTACTTTTACTTGTGCTACCTGACCTTAAATGTTTTAGAAAAACATGACAACTTGATTAAATTAGAATCTCATGAAAACTCTAATTTCACTCCAGAGACTCCGGGGGTTCATTTAAACACGTTTTTTTCCGAGGGAACGAGTCGAGGATTTGAGACAAAGCAGAAACACTTGACCTGAGCGGATTACCGTGAACTTCTCAGTGTGTCAGCGCCAACACTGCAGAGAACCGTTATTGCTTTCTGATGTCATGTGATCCCTGATCCAGTGACTTGTGTTTGGACCTGTGCTGCAGTCTGACCTCTGTCATGTCCCTTTGGAATTGCGGTCAGCGACTGTCAAGCTGACACAGTTTATAATGTGAAGCTGCCAGAAGACATCGTCTGAGTGGCGACTGATGTGGCCTCGTACACAAACAGCGACATATAATCACCTGAAAAGTGCTTTTATAAAATGGCTCAGAATTGGCCACGTTTATAAATCTGTGTGAGAGAAGGTAGCCATGGATCAACGCTGAGTAATTGTGGTCATAATTAATCACCATTAATCATGATTATTCCAGAAAAATCAAAATTCTCAAAACCAAAAAAACAAACACAAAACAGTCTACGGTCTATGGTATATTTGTGGAACAGCATAAAACAGCAGGTAGATGTCAGTGTTTCTCACCTTTATTTAATTTGTGACTAATCCAAATTATGGAATTATTAATATGGGAAAATACCAAGAACAATCTTATCTTTTTAGAGTTGATGGATTTGTTGTCCTAAACAATATTAATCATTCTGCACTCTCTCTAAATCCATTACTGACCTGAAGAATGTTTTTTTTTTAATTTTATTTATATTTTATTTTGAAACTAGTTTTGAAACTAGTTTTGAAAATCCTGTCATATTTTATTTTGAAACTAGTTTTGAAAATCCTGTTGTGTTCTTTTATGTTCATTTCTGATCATTTCAATTCAGATTCAAATGTCAAATTAAGCTTCGGTAGCACGTCTGCCAAAAATTACAAAAAAATCCTTGTTCATTCCACCTACTTGTATTGTGAGTAATGGGTTTAGCTGTAGCTAAATGTAAATGATTGTGAGTATGAGTTAGGCATACATACTTAATTTAATGAGAAAACTGTTGCTGCCAAATACACACTGTGGACCAGATCAAGTCACTTCAGTAACATGGTTTAGGTATGGCCTAGTACAGTATGATGATTTAGGTCCAATTATCAATTATGATGAAACAAGCGCTTCAGTAACTGAAGGGATAATATGCTCATTGATATACAGTATGCTATTGTTAAGATAAATATGCTATTTATTATTATTATTAATTATAAATATGCTATTGATAAAATGCTCATAATTGTACGAATTGCCTGCTTTAGATAAAATATTTTTTTTATTAAGATAGGCAAAGGCAGGGTTTAACAAAATAAACGGAGTGCATGATTCAACAACAGTGAAATGAGAGCACCTTTAGTAGCTAACACACAAGCTTAGATATTTTTTACCATTGTTCAAATGTAAATTCTTAGCTTGTGTGTTAGCTACTATCCAAACAGCTAATTGAATAGAAGCTAATACACAAGCTAATATTTTTTCTTTCATTGTTGAAATCAACGACAATTGTACCTTCATTATTTTGTCCTAATATTACTAAGTCAGTTCTGTGTTTTACTCTCTGACCCAGACCACAGATATCCTGAATACTGCAGTACTCACTGGTAAATCGGTCTCAGTCCCAGTACAGACTCTAGCAGTGGAGGCTGATGGTTCAGTCACTGACGTCACCAACTTTACCAGCTGTCGGTCCACAGAGGAGGGAGTTCTCCAGGTGAGTGTCCACTTCCGTGTGTGTTTGTTGAGCTCAGTTTTCTCACCGTGTTCGTTTTGTCTCTGTAGCTATACTTGTGGGGACAGTGTTTTTGGAAATACAGTTCTTGTGACGACACGTTGTCCTTGGGGTGACAGTTTGATGGTCCTGGCTGAGTTAGAGGATGTAGTTCAAGGTTAGAACAAGGATAAGGTTGTGGTTACAGTTAGGATTAGCCTTAGGCTCAGGCGTATACTGTACGAATAATGGTTCAAGTTAAGGCTGAGGCACAAGTAGTTTTCAGGTTCTCACAAAAAGAAAGTGTGTAGTATGTGTGTTTATATGTGTATACACGTGTGTTTGCATGTAGCTGTGTCGGTGTGTTTTATGTGTGTGTGTCTCTCTATGGTTGTGTGTGTAAGTCTTTGGGTGTGCGGTGATTTCTGTGGAGGCCTGATGCTCTTTTTAGCGGCAGTAAAAGTCAGCACCATGGACAGTTCCAAAGTAAAAAAAAAAACAAACAACAAACAAACAAACTGATTGATAAATTGTCATTTGTCTTGAGCGCCACCTGACTGCTGCAGGATAATATGCACACAGAGACAGCTGCAGGCCGTGCCCTGAGTGTGTATCTGTGTCAATAGGGCAGTGTCGTGTCGGCATTAGTGACTGTCATCCCACCACCTCCTCCACCCTGCACAGATTTGACCTTTATGTAACAGATCCATGTCAGTGACGCAGGATGGACACATGAAGTGGACCCACCGCCACAGAGACACACAACAAGTGTACTTTCTGAGTTTGAGCAGTGAAGAAGAGAATGTCAGAGGTCTGGAGCAGTTTCCATGGATTTTCTCCGTGACTTGAGGGGTTTATCGACGTATTACTTGCTTTTGCCCGTCAGAAAAACAACATTAGCATTTGCTTGGTGTTGTGTTACTTCCCACCTGTGACTTTGTCAGTTAATGATTAGAGCATAGAGATGTGTTGGAAAACAATGAAAAAGAGCAGTGGATGAGGCAGACTACAAACAGAAGGAATATGTTTGATATATTTTTAGCATCCAATATTAACCGGTGCAGCTGTGAGTGTAATAATTAAAATGTCATTTGCCTTTTTTCCCCTTTTTTAGAATCTACTTAAAAGGAAACAGATACTGTTGGAGTTTACAAATATAATTATAAGGGTTTTTTTCTCTATCTGAAAAATTGATTTGTCTCTGCATCGACATTTTTTTTATTTGTTTTTTTTTAATTGAGATCTAAAAACTAAATAAACGTGTCTGGTAGTTTTTGTTGAATTCATGTCCAAAATATTCCAATGATTTATCAGTACATACTTGCAACCAGATATCAGTGGTTCCATATTGTAGTGATTACCATGCCTGCCTTACACCTCTACCTAGTATGCAGAAAGTCCTAGGTTCAAGCCCCAGAGGAACCACATACTAAATGGCGCCTCCCCTGGCAGCCTGTGTGGATTGCAATGTCTCACAGTGAATTTTCTCATTTCATTTTCTTTTTCAAAATAATCCAGAGTTCTTCAAC